CTATATATATATATATATATATATATATATATACACGTGTGTGTGTGTATATATATATATATATACACGTATGCACGCCGTGTATAAATATACGGGTGGCACACGTTCGAAATGGAGGTACGTATACGCGTGTACCGAACAACAAAGCATTCGCCTGACCGCAATCAATACACTGTCCCCCTGCACCCTCTTCTCTCGACCTCTCCTCCTCCCCCTCCTCCTTTGCTATATCATCCGCAGCGGTGTACGCGAATGNACCCGCCTCCACCGCCACCAGCGACCAGGACACCATCTTCTCCAAGACCTCGTCGCGCGGAAATAAGACGGAGAACAAGAAGGTACGTGTGTATCTGAGAGAAGTATCAATTACAAGATGTTTTGTTTTAAACGTTTAACGAGTGGTTCGTTCGTGATAGTGCAGCTTTGAGGAAGGGTTTACGTATTGGGTCGTATGATGAAATTATTGTTTTAGGAAATTGTGGTCTTTGTTCGATACGGAAATGGAATTAGCTTTAACTTTTCTACAGATTTTAATTGGTATGTTTTTTTATAAAATTTTAGGGGGAAGAAATTCTTTGAACGATTTTATTTTTTAAAAACAGGTAGCAAATAGTGAAACGAATAGTGGTGATTGGTTGATGAAATATCTAGTGGGTTAAGATTTCATATTTAGAGTTTGCTTCGTGATGTATGCGGTTCTTAATCGATTTCTTGACAGTAGGATGCTGTTGTTACGGTATCTCCTCGTTTCAGAAAAGAGCAACGAATTATTCTCTTTATAGAATTTTTTCAGACTTAATAAAGGTTTCGAATATCATATAGTTTCTCACGGGTTATAATTCTAGTTCTAAAATGAACTTCTACCGTTTCCAGGTTTATAAGCACACTTCGAAACGTGGCAATTTTTGATCCTCCATCAATCGGTGCGCTATCCATTTCCCCAATTTTTTCACTTTCTACCATTGCAGCGAAATGTCTGAAAACTGTCGTTGGAGATACGTCTAACTCTACGTCCACTTTGGCATTCAATTTATCTTTGTTTAATATCTATCTCGGGGCTCATTTTCAAAATTCTCATTTCCAGATCCGAATTTTTGAAACCATTGAACGGTCCTCTCATTAAATCTTCTTCGAAAGTTAACCTAATATTTCGATATGCTTCAACTGCATTTGGACTCAGCTTAAACTCAATTTAACACAGGAATAATATTCCAATTCGTTCACTTCTCAAAACACTGTTAAACATAATACAAAAAAATAAGTTACACAGAGGAAGTATAAGAAGTCGTCTTAAATAAATACATTAAGCAAAATATAAGTTAAGTAAGATTTACGAGTTTCGCGTTTCATGTCTTACAATCTAATATTAATATTAAAATGATAAAATTTGGATTGATAAGAATAATAATAGCGAATTCATGCGAATTGCGTCAGAAAACGTTGCTGTTCCCGATATAGGGAAAAAAGTAAACGTTGCCCGTATGTAACGAACTTTCGTGCACAATTTATACAAACGAAATTCAGTGAACGTTGCGTAAATTGGAACTCTATTTTCTAGAGGAGAGGATTAAATTATTTATCCGCACTTGGCACAGCGTTCCAGCAATAATAAGATTACGAGTTAATAACGTTGGCGATTCGAGACGTTTATAACCAGCCATATAATTGTCCATAATTTTTATCCACTATGTATTTCGAAATTTAAACGGAAGCGAATTCAAGTTTTCAGAAAGTTGAGAAGTTGAATAAACAGGCAGGTAAACAGCCGGCCAGATTATCGTAATATTTATTAGCGGGGAGATAATATGAGACGTAACGATATTTGCAAACATTTTCATAACGTGCTCTAAAACTGCCCTCCTCGAATGGATCTTTGATATGCAAACTCTAATTCGATTTCGCGACGCGAAGATATGCAAAGTGAAGGATACGAGGGGAGCGTATCGGGGACGAATAAAACGGCGCGGATGGAATGGGAGGAAATAATCGTAATCGTAATCGATCGAGGACGAGTAAAGTAAACGAAAGTCGGACGCGCAAAAATTCAACTTTTGTTATCGCTTCGATCTATATAATAAATGGCGAAAGGCCCCGCCCATCCGAATGTACTTGTGCTTCCTGCAGTGACCATTAAACGTGCACTCCATTCGTCGAGGGAAAGTTGGCGATTAATAATTTAAATCAATATGGCGGAACGAGTGCAGACCATTTGGGGTAGATATACCTCCCGTGGGTACAGTATAACGTACCTCGTATCCGGAATACCGGAACGTGA